CCCACGATGTCAGCGCCCGCGTCCGTAACGTATAGGACAAGCTGGTTTTAAACTCCAAATCGTCTCCCTCTGCAGAAGGGACTGAGCTAGCCGTTAGTTAGCGCATCTGAGTTGAATCGGGTTAGCAGCTAAATTATTCCCTCCTTTCTCCGTTCTTCTGCCAATGGACTAGTACCTGCGACGCTTATATAGAGCGCGGTACCATCGCTTTCCCCGCTAGCAGAACCAGAAACCAAGAAAGAACTCGCTCAAAGTTCGAGCTCCTCCCAGTAGGAGCGGCTGCATTGGGCTAGGTACACTAGATTCTAGCTAGAGCTACTAGCTACTTGCACTAGCCAGCATGGGTGTGCGGAGCTGCTGCCGCGCCGGCGTCCATTGCGGTGCTGGATCGAGAAGGAAGCAACAGCAATGTAGGGGTGGGGGCTTGCTCGTGCTGTTCTTGCTGCTGGCGGCGGCGGCGGTGCCGGCGCGCGGGCAGCGATCGGACGGCGTGGTGATCGCGCAGGCGGACCTGCAGGGGCTGCAGGCCATCCGCCAGGCGCTGGTGGACCCGCGCGGGTTCCTGGCCGCCTGGAACGGCACGGGCCTCGACGCCTGCTCCGGCGGCTGGGCGGGGATCAAGTGCGCGCAGGGCAAGGTCGTGGCCATCCAGCTCCCCTTCAAGGGCCTTGCCGGCGCGCTCTCCGACAAGGTCAGCCAGCTCACCGCGCTCGGAGGCTCAGCTTCCACGACAACATCATCGGGGGCCAGGTGCCCGCTGCGCTCGGCTTCCTCCGCGAGCTCCGCGGCGTCTACCTCCACAACAACCGCTTCGCCGGCGCCGTGCCCCCGGCACTCGGCGGCTGCGCGCGCTCCTTCAGACGCTCGATCTCAGCGGCAACTTCCTCTCGGGGAGTATCCCTTCCGCTCTGGCCAATGCCACTCGGCTCTATAGGATCAACCTCGCGTACAACAACCTATCCGGTGTCGTGCCGACCAGCCTCACTTCCCTCCCGTTCCTCGAATCCCTTCAGCTCAACAACAATAATCTCAGCGGCGTGATTCCGCCCACCATTGGCAATCTCAGATTGCTACACGATCTTTCTCTCGCTAGCAATTTGATCAGTGGAAGCATCCCGGATGGGACTGGCAACGCCACAAAGCTCGGAAAGCTTGATCTCTCTGACAATCTTTTAGGTGGTAGCCTCCCTGAGTCACTCTGCAGCCTCACTTTGTTAGTAGAGCTCAATCTCGATGGCAATGACATCGTAGGACACATCCCGGCATGCTTTGACGGGCTTAAGAATCTGACCAAGCTGTCCCTGAGGAGGAATGTCCTCGATGGCGAAATCCCAGCGACCATCGGGAACCTTTCGGCACTGTCACTGTTCGACGTGTCCGAGAACAACCTCACCGGAGAAATTCCTGCCTCCTTGAGCGGCCTTGTCAATCTCAGTTCTTTCAATGTGTCCTACAACAATCTCTCGGGGCCTGTGCCTGCAGCTCTATCCAACAAGTTCAATTCTAGCTCGTTCCTTGGAAACCTTCAGCTCTGTGGGTTCAATGGCTCTGCCATTTGCACTTCCGCTTCATCCCCACTGACGGCGCCGTCTCCTCCAGTGCCTTTGTCGGAGCGGCGAACCCGGAAGCTCAACAAAAGGGAGCTCATCATTGCAGTGGCAGGCATCCTCCTGCTCTTCTTTCTCCTGTTCTGCTGCGTCTTCATCTTCTGGAGGAAAGACAAGAAGGAAAGCTCGCCCCCCAAGAAGGGCGCCAAGGAGACGACCACGAAGACTGTCGGGAAGGCAGACTCAGGCACTGACACCGGTGGGGACGGCGGCGGCAAGTTGGTCCACTTCGACGGGCCGCTCTCGTTCACGGCGGACGACCTGCTGTGCGCGACCGCAGAGATCCTGGGGAAGAGCACGCACGGGACGGTGTACAAGGCAACCATGGAGGACGGCAGCTACGTCGCGGTGAAGCGGCTCCGGGAGAAGATCGCCAAGAGCCAGAAGGAGTTCGAGCTGGAGGTGAACGCACTCAACAAGCTCCGGCACCCCAACCTCCTCGCGCTCAGGGCCTATTACTTGGGACCCAAGGGCGAGAAGCTTTGGTGTTCGACTACATGCCCAAAGGCAACCTTGCCTCTTTCCTCCATGGTAAGCTCACTTCCACAGTGCAATTTCCATTTTCAAATGCTCGGATTCTCTTTAGCTATCTCTTTGCTTCTTTTTGTGCTTAACAAAACTTCGCCATGTGTATTATCGCAGCTCGTGCACCGGACAGCAGCCCGGTGGACTGGCCGACGAGGATGAACATCGCGATGGGCCTGGCGCGGGGATTGCACCACCTACACACCGACGCCAACATGGTGCACGGCAACATCACCAGCAACAACATCCTCCTGGACGAGGGCAACGACGCCAAGATCGCCGACTGCGGCCTGTCGCGCCTCGCCAGAGCGCGGCAGCCAACTCCAGCGTGATCGCCGCCGCGGGCAATCTCGGCTACCGCGCGCCGGAGCTCTCCAAGCTGAAGAAGGCCAACACCAAGACCGACATCTACAGCCTCGGGTGGTCATGCTCGAGCTCCTGACTGGCAAGTCGCCCGGGGACACGACCAACGGCCTCGACCTGCCGCAGTGGGTGGCCTCGGTCGTCGAGGAGGAGTGGACCAACGAGGTGTTCGACCTGGAGCTCATGAAGGACGCGGCCGCGGGCTCAGAGACCGGCGAGGAGCTGGTGAAGACGCTGAAACTGGCACTGCATTGCGTCGATCCTTCTCCTCCAGCGAGGCCCGAGGCACAGCAAGTGATACGGCAGCTTGAGCAGATCAAGCCCTCAATTGCTGTCTCTGCCGCCTCGTCCTTCACCGGTGAGCCGAGCCATACTACCGCGACCGCCACCAGTGTCACGGACGAAACGAAATCTACAATTACAGAGTAGTCGGCCTCTTGCAGACTGAAATTTACAGTTCTCTTTTACTTCAGGTTCTTAATAAGTAGACTTCAGAGTCTATCCGTTTTTTTTTCCAGTCTGTACAGTACAGGTGTAGGGAGTAGGAGAATTTTGGTTGTGATGTCATTCTTTAATTCCTGAATTCGTTTGTACCAGCCAGAAGCACTCCATGTTATCAGAAGATGATTTGGGAGTGCTGGCTTCTGATTAAATTTCAATTGAACCTTTAGTGCTTTCAAAAAATTTCCTTTGAGAGAAATGTCCAATTTCGGGGCAGCCATAATTTACCACAATTAACCTCAATCAAATGTGGCAAGGCATAAAAAGTGTGGCTAGAAAATTTGGAGCCACACTTTGTAATGCCTAAGATTACTATACTTTTTACTCTACGACACAAAGTCCAAAAAATCTTGTTTAAATTTAGTTGCGAACCAAATACTTACCAACTTAAGGTGAACTGTGGGAAGGTGTGGCTAGCAACCAAACACATAATGACAAACTTGAGTTTTTATTTTCTGTGATCACGCAAGAGTAGCTGGTAGTTTGTCCAGTGTAACTTGTCAGATTAGGAAGGGTTTCTCATGCCACGCAAATCTGAGAGCACAACGTACGATTGCTCATATCACCTGCTACCTAACATGCAAATCACGAACGGTACTCAAATCACAGATCATGACGACATTACAGAGGAACCCTGATGTTACCAGGGCAAAATTGAGCCCACAACACAACCTGCAAACTTTAATGACGTGGAAGACGGCAGTTTCAATAGAACCTTTGGTGCTTTCAAAAAATTCCTTTTGAGAGAAATGTCTAATTTCAGGGGCTGTTTGGTTTCTGACATAATTTGCCACAATTAACCTTAAGCAAATGTGGCAAAGACACAAAAAGTGTGACTAGAAAATTTAGAGCCACACTTTGTCATGTCTAAGAGATTTTGCTGTTCTTTTTTACTCCACGACAAGTAGAGTCAAAAAAATCTTGTATAAATTTAGTTGCTAACCAAATACTTACTAACTTAAGGTGAAGTGTGGCAAGGTGTAGTTAGCAACCAAACACATAATGACAAACTTGAGTTTTTTATTTTCTGTGATCACGCAAGAGCTTACGTGAGCAGCTGGTAGTTTCTCCTATGTAACTTGTCAGATTAGGAAGGGTTTCTCTTTCTCATGCCACGCGAATCTGAGTGCACAACGTACGAATGCTCATATCACCTGCACAACGTACTCAATCACCGATCATGACATTACAGAGGAACCCTGATGTTACCAGGGCCAAACTGAGCGCACAAGGCACAACACAACCTGCAAACTTTAAGGATGTGGAAGAAGGTAGATTTTTTTGCGGTTTTACAGCCAACACTAATTTCTTACCAGGGCTGTGGGCCTGCTACTATCTAGTGACCCAGTCAGTGATTGTGCTGCTGCAGACCCTTTCGTCGACCTCTTGGACTTGGCTGTTTGCGTCCAACCTGCACGTAAATAGCAAGGATGAGTTAACCCTTTTTGTAGTTACTCGACAACGTGAAATACACCCCAAACATACTGGTACCGGCAAACGTGAAATACTGCACGTAAACGATCGTAAATTTCCAGCCGAAAACAGTGTTTTTCTCTCACACCAAACCAGCCAGCAGTAAATAATCCACGATACGATACGGTCTCCCGAACAGGCTGATGTCAGCTTGCCAATGGACCAGGTATTAAACTCTTACCTGCACGGCTGCACATTTGGTTTTAGACTTATAACTGCTTACAACTAATGGTCAGCACGATCAATACTTGCCATTACAAGTAGTAGCATTCTGCAAAGGAACAGCCTATCTCAAGTTGTAGTGCATAGTGTACACAATCTCGCTAGGAAGATGGGAATTTGTTCCAACTCCTGGTGCATCCTAAATGTTTCATGTGAAATTCTTGCTTCCCAAGGTTGCACCTACTCCCTCTGTCCGAAATAGTTTCGGGACAAACTGTCCGTATTCATAGCTAAAGTGTCAACTATTTTGAGATAGTACTCTCGTTATGATCTGCCGCCTTTAGTAGCTTAGCAAGGTGCAGGCCGAAAAAGAGATCCTGTAGCTGGCCCTTCCTCTCATTGTCCAGGAAATTGCATTGCAAAGTGCAAACATATGGACACAAGGGTGCTTATAGCCTTGTACTATATCCACAAACCGGACTGTGTCATTCCAATTGGAGCTCGATTCAGGGGTACTGCAAAAAAAATTGACATGGCCAAAATCCCACAAACCTAGACGAAATTAATCAGTCAATTTATAGTTTGTTTATTGTGAGCAACCAAAGTGAACATTTGAATCCTTCATAGTGAAGTACCTGCAGATGGACTTCATCTGCTGAACGCCGACGCATGTTCCTTTCAGTGGTACGGAGATGAAATCGGCAACGATTAGCTATTTGCTACAGGCTAGAAATTGCGGCTAAGTGAGATAGCTCAATGACCCTAACTAATCACATGTCTCCTGCGTCGCCTCCTGGCCACCTATCGCTGAAAGCAGAGGAATTGTTCAGTTGGAGTGGGAAAAAAGGGCCAATTGACTTGACTTTGTCAAAGAACCTACCAACTCCTACAGGCTACAGTGTGGGGTTAGGACCTGGGGATCACTTGTTGCAAAGTCATGTACTTGAGAAATTTCTATAGTGTGGGGGCGTTGCATTTTTCCAACAAAACCGGTGTCTGCAGTTGCAAATTTTCTTGATTTCTGTTTTGCAGTCTCATTCAGAGTATCAGTCTCAATCTTCTTCGTGATAAACGCGCTGTTCTTTCCTCTCTCTCTTTTTTTTTGTTTCTTCTTCTTCTTTCTTTTTTTGCGAGATGTATTATTGTTTCATTAGTGCTTTCGCTGGGGCTATTTTCTTTCCAAGAATAATGTTATCGAAGGAAATTCAGTCCACACCAACAAATGACATTTCTCAATGGTAGGTAGGCAACTGAACAGATGTAGCACCCTGACAAAGCTAAGCCCTACTTTTTTTTACCTGCAGAAAAGAACTAGTACTAACTACTAAGTTGCACCTTTTTGTCCCTCCAACATCTTGATTGACCAGAGTTAATGCAATTCTTCCATGGTAAGCTACCGTCCATCCATGCATCATAGTATAGTATCAACAAACTCAGCAGCAGCAGCTAATGTTCAGAATAGGTGGAACGACTGGGCACGGTGAAACGAATCCCTCTGGATTGCAATTGCATTCGCTAGACCAGTGGGTGCAACAACTCCCGCGTCAGCATTCACCATTGATTCAGCAGTGCGACACCCTAGAGGCCAAAAGGCCTCGCGTCGCAGTCGCAAGAATCAAAACCTAATCTTCCAAACCCCAAACAACTGCACTACCCTCCCTCTCGGGTCTCGGCCCATCGTTGCTGCCTGCCTCTATATATACGCTCGCCGGTATCGCACTTGGTCACCACGGCAGCAAACCACCAGAGCAACAAGCCAGCCAGCCATTGCCGGTCAACCGGAGCGGTGGCTGCGATGGCGAGGTCAGGTCTCGTGAAGCTCTGCTGCACCTCTGCTCTTCTTTTGCTCTGCTGCTTCCTTCTCCCGGGCGCCCTCGCCGAGGAGCGCTTCTACGAGTTCATCGTAAGTGTTGCTGCGCTTTGTGTTTTGTGGTTCAATAACAACAATTAATCTGTTCAAAATGGTAAACGGTTTGGTGTTGCTGCTGGCTTGCTGCAGGTCCAGGAGACGCTAGTGAAGAGGCTGTGCAAGAGCCAGAAGATCGTGACGGTGAACGGGCAGTTCCCGGGGCCGACGATCGAGGTGTACAGCGGCGACACGCTGGCGATCAAGGCCGTGAACCTGGCGCAGTACAACGTGACCCTCCACTGGCACGGCCTCCGCCAGCTGCGGAACGGGTGGGCGGACGGGCCGGAGTTCGTGACGCAGTGCCCGATCAGCCCCGGCGGCAGCTACACGTACCGGTTCACCACCCAGGGCCAGGAGGGCACGCTGTGGTGGCACGCGCACAGCTCCTGGCTCCGCGCCACCGTGCACGGCGCGCTCGTGATCCACCCCAGGAGGGGCCTCCCCACCCTTTCCCCAAGCCACAAATGGAGGCCCCCGTCATCCTAGGTACAATACAAGTACAGCACAAGTACAGCCCGTCGGTAATTATATCGCCGGCTGCCACCACCAATGCCGCCGCCTCACTGACCTGAACGCATATGTTTGTGCAGCCGAGTGGTGGAGGAGGAACCCCATCGCCGTGCTCCGCCAGTCCATGATCACCGGTGCGCCGCCCAACGTCTCCGACGCCCTCCTCATCAACGGCCAGCCGGGAGACTTGCTCCCGTGCTCCAGCCAAGGTGATCGCCGTTGTTAATTTCGTTGATTCAGTTGCTCATGTTGTTAACCACAACCACAAGGAGACGCTGCACACACACATCATTTAAAGAGAGAACAATGGTGATTCAGAAAACACTACAAAATGTTGCACAATTTCTAAATTTGGTTAGACCGACCAAAGCAACTTTCGGTTTGGAAAAGACTCATCCATGCCTCTCTCAGGCATAGGTCTCTCTCAAAGTCCAAACCGTACGGCATGGTAAATAAACACTGCAGGCACTTGTCTCCTGCAGCTAAGTTGCTCCCTGGTGGTTGGTTGCTTTGTTTTTATATTCTGTCATACAAACTGACGATACGAAGAGACAATCTTCAGATGTAAAGAAGAAACATTCTAACCAATGTCAAGCATGCGCATGATGTCACCCACTTTGACCAGCGGATGATGCATGTTTTCTCCACCAGCCCAACTCACAAACTAATTCTTCGCGTGCTATGCCTACGCGTTCATGTGTCACCCAATGCAGAGACGAGCATCATCCCGGTGGTCGCCGGCGAGACGATCCTGCTGCGCATCATCAACGCGGCCATGAACACCGAGCTCTTCGTCAGTCTCGCCGGCCACAGGATGACCGTGGTCGCCGCGGACGCCATTTACACCAAGCCCTTCGAGACCGACGTCGTTCTCCTCGGCCCCGGCCAGACCACCGACGTCCTCGTCACGGCGCACGCAGCCCCGGGACGATACTACCTCGCCGCGCGCGCCTACGCTTCGGCCCAGGGCGTCCCCTTCGACAACACCACCGCCACCGCCATCTTCCAGTACAAGAACGCCCCCGGCTGCCCCACCACCTCCGGTGCCGGTGCCTTCAGCGGCCCAGTAGGCCGGTCCACTAGGTCCTCGGGCCACTTCGGCCGCGCAGGGCCGCAGCCGATGCTCCCGTTCCTGCCGGCGTTCAACGACACGAACACGGCGACCGCCTTCTCCAACAGCCTCCGGAGCCCAGTGGCGGTGAAGGTGCCCGGCCCGGTGACACAGGAGGTGTTCACCACCGTGGGGTTTGGGCTCTTCAACTGCCGCCCCGGCCCGTTCTGCCAGGGCCCCAACAACACCCGGTTCGGCGCGAGCATGAACAACGTGTCGTTCCAGCTCCCCAACACCGTGTCCCTGCTGCAGGCGCACTACCACCACATCCCCGGCGTGTTCACCGATGACTTCCCGGCGTTCCCGCCGGTGTTCTTCAACTTCACCTCGCAGAACGTCCCGCGAGCGCTGTGGCAGCCGGTGAAGGGCACCAAGCTGTACCAAGTCAAGTACGGCGCGGTGGTGCAGATCGTGTTCCAGGACACGGGCATCTTCGCCGCCGAGGAGCACCCCATGCACATCCACGGGTACCAGTTCTTCGTGCTGGCCACGGGGTTCGGCAACTACGACCCGCGGCGCGACGAGGCCAAGTTCAACCTGGTGGACCCGCCCAGCCGCAACACCATCGGCGTGCCCGTCGGCGGCTGGGCCGTCGTGCGCTTCGTGGCCGACAACCCCGGGGTGTGGCTCGTGCACTGCCACATCGACGCCCACCTCACGGGCGGGCTCGCCATGGCGCTGCTGGTGGAGGACGGCGAGTCCGAGCTCGAGGCCACCATCGCGCCGCCGCTCGACTTGCCCATCTGCGTGCTGTAGAGATTTTTCAGTTTCTCGCTGGCGTGCGTGACCACGTGGCGGTACAGGGAGGCAGTGTGCATCGGACGCGTGCTGTGTATTTGCATTGGTAATTGGGCATTTGCATTCGGGATTTTGATTTGAATTTTCAAGGAAGGGGGAAGTATATTACTTTTTTTTTTTACGGAAATGCTCCGGACGCACGTCAGACTCCATTCGTGACTTCACCGACCGCGCCTCATCTTATCCGCCCGCCCGACGCCGCTTCACTTTACCCGCTCCCCCGCACTCGCACTTCACCCGCTCCGCCCGCTGCCCCGCCGTCGCTCTCTCCCGCAGTCGCACTCCGCCCGTTCCCCCGCCCTCGCTCTCTCCTGCACTCGCTCTCCGCGCCGCTTTCTTGCCCGCTCTTCGCGCCGTCGCCGCGCGAGCTCCCTCCCTCCCTCCGTCTCTCGCCCCTCCGTGACCTCCCTCACTCCCTCCCTCCGCACGCGAGCTCGCTGTGCGCCCACCCGCCCATGCTCCCTTCCTCCCTCCATCCCTCGCCCTCTATGACCTCCATGCACCCCCACTCTCCCTGCGACCCGGCTCCCACACCCCATCGGACGACGAGGATGACGGCGGCGGCTCCGACGAGGTAGGTTGCGGAGGGATCTGGATCTGAGGCCTTGCTCCTCCACCTCTGAATCTGGATCTGAGCCCTCCTCCCTCCCCCTCTAGATCTGAGCCCTCCTCCTCCTCTGGATCTAAGGGATGCGGCGGTGGCTAGGGTTCCGGCGAGCTCTCGGGGGGTCAGATCTCGCCGTGTTGTAATGGTTTTTTAGGATTAAGTCCACTTTTGGCCCCTCAACTATCATGTTGGTCTAATTTTGACCATCAACTACAAAACCGTCTGGTTCAGGAACCTCAAGTTTGAAAACCGTTCACTCTTGGCATCTAGACATGGTTGTGGCTATTTCATGTCGACGTGTACCGGTTTTGACCCGCACGCTTTGACCGCCACGTGGGGCCTTGCGCCTGCGGAGGGATAGCCGCGCTCGCAAGGGCGATTCACGCCAGAGAGCACCGCCTTCGTCCGGACTCTTCGCGACGCAGCCACACCTCCTCCGTCGTTACACTACGGCCCGCTCCCCGGCGTAGGCTCTCCATCGGTGCCAGTACGCCGCCGTCATCATCTTCGTGTATGCGCGCTCTTACTCACCGACATGCCCAAAGCAGACCTTCGTCGTGCGGCGCCCATGCCGCACTTTCGCGACGGGTACGTGGGCCCGGCATGACGTGGGACGCGAGCTCAAGGAGATCTCGCGCGCCGAGCGAGGACGGCGCGCGCCACGGCCGGGCGACAAGGCGCGAAAGTACCGCCGCGACTGGTGCTCGGCCGCCGCGCCCATCTTCGCTAGCTCACCGGCGCTATCGTGCTCGTCTTCTTCGTGTCATCGAGCTCGCCATGACAGAAAGCAAATTGTCGCCCTCTCGCCATCGCACCACTCCCTCACCCTCCGGGAAGAGCATCCAGCCGGCCTTGGGTGAAGCGCTGGTCCAGCAGGCGCGGTGCGTGCGAGGCGCGCGGCGCGGCGCTTAGTGGGGGGAGCGAGACCGCGGAAGCGAAGGTAGTCCAGAAACCGCCCGTGGCGAGAACCCTCGCCAGATGAGTCGCGCGGCCGGCGTGGAGCGACACCCAGTCCGACGCTGCCTCCTCACGCTCCCCGCCACCGCTGCGCAAAGAAGCGCCTTGCCGCAGTGGCCCGGCGGCCATCCCCTACACCGCTTGTGTTTTCTTTAGAAACCACGTCAAGACCACGCTTGTCCCGCATGCGTTGTGCGTGGGGATGTCAAAGGCGATGGCGAGATTGGGCCTCTCCGTCGTCTCCACCTTCTCCTTCGGCTTCCTCCTCAGGATGGGCAGCGCGCTGGAGACGCTGTGCGGGCAGGCGTACACCGCGGGGCAGCTGGACCTGCTGGGCGTCTACGAGCAGCGGTCCGTCATGGGACACGCTCCGGGGGCTCTGGCCTTTCGCCAGGCTCTCCCTCGCCTCCGCTGTCATGCTCTGCCTTGAGGTCTGGGACATGACGGTGCTCATCGTCCTCACCGAACGCCTCGACGATGTGGAGATCGCCGTCGAATCCGTGTCCATATATGGTAATTACTCCAGTCAGTCCACGACCATTTCTTTCCATCAATTCATTCTATGATCCATCCACCATATGCATGATCGATGCATGATTGATTTCAGCATGAACCTGAATGGTTGGGAGGCGATGTTGTTCATCGGGCTGAACGCGGCGATCAGTGTGCGCGTGTCCAACGAGCTGGGCTCCGGTCGGCCGCGTGCCGCCAAGCACGCGGTGGCGGCGGTGGTGGCGCAGTCGCTGGCCATGGGGCTGGTGGGCATGACGCTGGTGCTAGCGTACCGCAACAGCTTCATGGTGCTCTTTCACGGCGAAGCGGGACATGCAGCGGCCGTGGGGAAGGTGGCGCCGTCTTTGGCGGCGACCATGGTGCTCAACGGCGTCAGGCCGGTGATCTCCGGTGGTATCCATCGGCGGCGGTTTGCAGTGTTGGTCACCTACATCAACCTTGGTTGCTACTACGCTGGTGCAGTTCGGTTGAATCGATGACGCGTGGACCCCACATTGGACAAAACCGCTCCACGTTGGATAAAACAGCCTCACCCGCGCCCAGGTGCTAAAAGTGAACGGTTTTGACAGTTGGGGTACTAGCATTAGACGGTTTTATAGTTATGGGTCAAAATTAGACCAACATGATAGTTGAGGGGTCAAAAGTGGACTTAATCCTTTTTTTTATGTTGCAATAGATGATTTCGAATGTTGCAATGGGTTTTCTTTGGTTGTTGCAACAAATGTTTTTACGATGTTGCGGTAGTACTGCTTGAGATGTTGCAGTATGTTTCAGTTGCTTCAATCTCATGTTACAGTAGTTGTTCCATGTTGTTGCAAGTGTTTTTATTTCGTGCGTTGTTTCATATGCTTCACACCAGTGTTGCAATAATATGTTCCAAATGTTTTAGCTCTTTCAACCCATTTGTTGCAGCAATTTGTTCGGTGTTGTTGCAATAATATGTTCCAAATGTTTCAGCTCCTTCAACCTATTGTTGCAGCAGTTTGTTCCGTGTTGTTGCAATAATATGTTCATGGTGTTTCAGCTGCTTCAGCCTAATGTTTCAGCTGTTGTTCCTTTGTTGTTGCAATAATATGTTCATGGTATTTCAACTGCTTCATCCTAATGTTATAGCTATTGTTCATTGTTGTTGCAATATATATGTTCATGGTGTTTCAGCTGCTTTAGCCTAATGTTGCAATAGTTGTTTTCCGTGTTGTTGCATGTGTTTTATTCCAGCTTTCTATGTTGTTCGGCCAAAGAGGGGCGAGCCGGGACGGACGGAGGCGCGTGGTTCGTCGGGGCCTAGCGGGCGGAGGTGCTGGGGCCGTCGAATGTGGGGTGCTGTGGTCGTGGGGGGCGCTGGGCATGCAGCATGCTCGTTGCGGGCGTGGGGCAGACACGACAGGCTGCGGGGGCGATATGGGGGCGTGCGGACTCGCACGGCACAGAGGTTAGCGGGGCTCTTCGTAGGCATCGCAGGCCGCGGGTTCGTCAGTGTTAGCAGGGCTCTTTGTTCGACGAAGACACAGCAGCGGCAGTTCGCACGGACGCGCGATCTCAGGGCGGCGGCGGCGGTCCATGCCGCTGCCCCGGCCTCGTACCATCGCCAGTGGGTCCGCTCCTTGCCGCTGCCCCGGCCTCGTACCATCGCCAGTGGGTCCGCTCCTTGCACGTATCACGGGGGGGGGGGCGTGCTGGTAGCGTGCGGTGCGGAACTGGGAAGGAGGAGGGCGCGCTGGCGGAGTGCGTCCACAGAACAGTCCGATGGATGGATCCGTATCCATCGGACGTCCGGGCAGCACTTCCCTTTTTTTTAGCAAAAGGGAAGTAAATTACTGAATACAGATCAGGTTCATTGGGTTTGTTACCGTAATGGGCTTTTTCGGCACTACCATGTAATCTTGGCCTTTGAAATTAGAGTGAGTGGGCTTCCAACTACTTGGGTGAGGCCTATTTGAACGTTTGCTAGTTTCATACGTGAAAAATGGGCCTAAGTGTTCCAGTTGAATAAACCCAACTACTAATTGTATTTTCCTAAAAAAAATTACTAATTGTATCTTCGCCACTAAAAAAACTAATTGTGTCTCCGTACAACTCTCAACATCAAGCTCGCTTTAGAGGCTTCAATCAATAACATCTAAACCGGAAAAACAGCGATCAACACTCTAAATCATTGGACAATACAATCTGATTAATTTATGTCAAAAATCATACAAGACGAACCGTTGTTGTTTTTTAAGTGATCCATAAAGCTTGACGCATTCAGCAAAAGGTGGTACATGCATCACATTTCTCACGTCCTTATTGCAACACAAAGTACAGCATTGCTTAGTGGCGAAATGCTAGTAGGCCAACAGTGTCAAAGTACACGCAACTTTCACAGAGATTAACACTATCAGTAGCTCATTTGGTATTATAATCACAATTATGGAGCTGGCATTGCTTTGTCCCATACAGGCAGAGGAAAGCCAGCCCTAAAGTGTGGAGGGTTGTCACCACCATGTGTCCGGGACCCGCACTTGTCTACCGTCCCATGTAGATCCGACGGCCGTGATTCCATCCCGAATCATCGAGATGCATGGATTCAGAGGTGCATGCTTGCATGCTGGTGGGGTCAAATTAATTTGGGGGTACCGCGTGTGTTCTTTCTACTAATTGTTTATGTGTCTTAATAGCATGGTGTCAGTTACTCAGTTGCTTTTGTGATGTAGTGTTAGCTTCTGTTGAGCCGCCATTTGGAGGTGGGAGTCACAATCCTATCTCATCAGCTTCATAGTGGTTCCTAGATGAAGCCCACATATGGGGTTCGTTTAAAAAAGAGATGAAGCCCATGGAATACACATGGTCATCCAGGGTTAATCTTGACACTTTAGTCGCAAGCTTTTGGTAATGACATGTTTCGAGAATATATGTTTCCGTTAGCATCATCTTTGGTGGAACAAGGGGAACATGACAATTGGGCTGGTTAAATGGCAATTTACATGCGAAGTGAGTGTACCTCGTTTGGTCAGGTTCGTTGTGGTGGAACCTATCAATCTGGTTTTAAGTCCCATTGGAATGAATGTTCACATTCCTCTGGATTTTTTAGTCGTGCTTTTATTTCAGTGATAGGTGATGTGCCCGTTGATAACGAGAAGCCCATAGTAACAATCTCGAATGTGTTTATGTGGGCAGGGTTTGAGTGAGTGCGTGCGTGCGTGCATAGAAGGTGAGTATGTACCATGTAATTTAAAAAAAAGTGTGCCTCATGGTAACAATCTTGAGATTTGACAGCTCACTTTTTCGGAGGGTGTAAGTATATGTCTGCATCTGTATTGTGCGCCCATGGTAATAATCTGGCTCACTTTTTCGTTGCCGATGAGTATGTCTATGTGTTTGTGAGTGTCTATATTTGTATTGTATAATCCACAAAAAAATGCATATGCCTTTGTATGTGTCTGTACCGTGTAATTCGTCAAGAAACAATCCAATTGGCATTGACATGGTGTATTAAGTGTAGTATTATCCTTGTTAGATGCTCAGCCAGTAAGTACTAACATGTACGAGACAGCTTATGAGAAAAAAAATACCACTACCATAGCATGAAACAAATTAAAATGCTGAGGAACTTGATCATTCACCAATGGATGTATCGGAAGGTGCAACCTTTGTAGGGTCAACACAGTTTGAACCCCTGATCTTCAGCCACTTGTGCGTACCACGATCTACCGCGATCGAAAACACGGATTGTTTTATCACCATGGGCGTAGCAAATTCAATGAACGCCTTGAGGGAGTAGTGTTCACGTCAAAGTAACCAAAAGAGAACACATCTCAAAACCAAAAAGTATTGGGACGATATAAGGCTGGGTTACCCAAAGGCAGCTCATCTTTTCATACGGATTGTGAGATCTCAATGTGGGTTGCACACAGTCCGACCTGTATGGGCGCAAGAGCTCTCTCTTTGAGTTTTTGTACGGACCAATGGATGTACATTTGCATGCATCCCTTACGTACCCCGTAATCCTCTGCTTGAACCGAGTTCTTTACACTCTCACTAGTAGTATACATATGCTTTGGTGAACTGTAGGAGCAGTTTCCCACAGATAACCAACATACTGAAATGATGGTGGGATTAGAAGTTAAGTTACTAATGTGTATAAAATAGGCACTTGTACTGTGCGCGCTTTACTTTGTCCATTTTTTGCACAATAGTATATCCCAAGTTGTTTAACATGTTCAGCTTAGCTTCATAGCCTGCACTGTATATACAAACCAGTGCCACCCAGCCATGCCTAACAGCCAAGGGGCAGGCAGGCAGGCAAAGAGCTCTCACTTCTCAGAACAAAGCAAGCAACCAAACCAACTGCTGAGAGAGCCTAGCAACTTCAGGGGATGGGCAACAGCCTGCGGTGCTGCCTGGCCTGCGTGCTCCCCTGCGGCTCCTTCGACGTGATCCGGATCGTCCACCTCAGCGGCCACATCGAGGAGCACACCCGCCCGGTCACCGCCGGCGAGGTCATCGCGGCGCACCCTAACCACGTCCTGAGCAGGCCGTGCTCCCAGGGCGGCGCGCGGCGGATCCTGATCGTCGCCCCGGACTCGGAGCTGAAGCGAGGGTACTTCTATTTCCTGGTGCCGGCCTCGTCGGTGCCGGAGAAGAAGAGGAGGCCGCCGCAGCAGAAAAAGGCACGGTCGCAGAAGAGCGCGCCGAGCGCTGCTGTTGCTAAGGAGGCCAAGGACAATGGTGACAGGTACCTGGCGGAGGTGCTGTCGGAGGGCAAGGCCAGCCTCAAGCGCCGCCGGAGCAGCCGTTCCACGGTGTGGCGGCCACACCTTCACAGCATCCTGGAAGAAACTGCTAATGACTCGTGAGATCTCTCATCTCTTCATGCTTTCAGCTCACGTAGCTGTTTCCTCCTCTCTGTCCTGTGTAAATAGTTATGGACGTAATAGTCATGGTGGTTGTGCATGGTGTGCACCATGTACGTCTGATCCTTGAGTTTTAGCTGAGAGGCAGCCCCCTTTTGCTTCTCTGATTTGCTCCTCCTGCTAGATTTTTCGCTCTCACCGCTCCCGGTTCAAGTTTTGAAGCCGGTGAGAGTTACCGAATAGGCAGTGAAGGAGAAACAGCCAAACAGTTATCAAGATGGGATACTCTTGATGTACGCTTATTGAAATGGAATGTGTGTTTTGAACTTGAAATCTTCAGTACAGGCATCCATGTTTTGTGTTTCTTCTCAACCATCAGTCATGAATTGTTCAGCTACTGCATTTCCTCACATCATGATTACTGGAACTGTCCAGTAACCGGTCAATCTCTATAGGTTTTCCCCCCATGTTGTGCCAAAACTGGACTACTATATTCATCCGAAACCCAGAAAGAAAAATAAAGTTGCAGATCACGTTTAGTTTTGATGATGATCTTATACATAATATGAGAGAATTGTTGAAGTGTTGTATTATACCGGTTATAGTCTCAGGTAGTTAGCACTAGCTTTGACCGTGAGGTGGCCACG